TCGCGGGGACGTGCACCGAGCGCAGCAGGGCTCAGCCCTCACAGCCGGGGATGGCCGGGCAGCCGCGTCCCTGCTCGGGCATGGGGAGCGGGGGTCACCGTACCCCGATCTTGCCGGTCTTGGCAGCCATCATGAGCGGGGAGAGGCCGTCGTTGTTGAGCAGAGCCTCCAGGTTGGTGTCGGGGAAGAGCTTGGCGCACTTGACGAGGAGCAGGTCGTACATCTTGGTGACGAACCGGGTGTTCTCGCGGGTGTTGTCGGCGATGGCGACCAGGGCGTGCAGCACGGTGTTGCCGCGCGAGTCCTGGCGCCGCAGGTCCGCCTGCTTGCGCCCGTTCTCCGTCAGGTAGTGCACGATGTGGGGCTGGTTGGTGCAGGCGGCCAGCGAGAGGGGCAGCTCTCCTGCGGGGACACCGCCTCGTCGGGGCTCCCGTCGCCATGGGGCACCCCCGGGGCTGGGGTCACCCAGCAGGGATGGTTCAGCCCTGGGGGTCGCCCAGCAGGGACGGTACGGCCCCAGGGGACACCCAGCAGGGACAGTGCAGCCCCAGAGGACACCCAGCAGGGATAGCACAGCCCAGGGGGTCACCCAGCAAGGGATGGTGTGCCCTGGGGGGGTCACCCACCAGGGATGGCGCAGACCTGGGGGTCACCCAGCAGGGATGGTTCAGCCCTGGGGGTCGCCCAGCAGGGACGGTACGGCCCCAGGGGACACCCAGCAGGGACAGTGCAGCCCCAGAGGACACCCAGCAGGGATAGCACAGCCCAGGGGGTCACCCAGCAAGGGATGGTGTGCCCTGGGGGGGTCACCCACCAGGGATGGCGCAGACCTGGGGGTCACCCAGCAGGGATGGTTCAGCCCTGGGGGTCGCCCAGCAGGGACGGTACGGCCCCAGGGGACACCCAGCAGGGACAGTGCAGCCCCAGAGGACACCCAGCAGGGATAGCACAGCCCAGGGGGTCACCCAGCAAGGGATGGTGTGCCCTGGGGGGGTCACCCACCAGGGATGGCGCAGACCTGGGGGTCACCCAGCAGGGATGGTTCAGCCCTGGGGGTCGCCCAGCAGGGACGGTACGGCCCCAGGGGACACCCAGCAGGGACAGTGCAGCCCCAGAGGACACCCAGCAGGGATAGCACAGCCCAGGGGGTCACCCAGCAAGGGATGGTGTGCCCTGGGGGGGTCACCCACCAGGGATGGCGCAGACCTGGGGGTCACCCAGCAGGGATGGTTCAGCCCTGGGGGTCGCCCAGCAGGGACGGTACGGCCCCAGGGGACACCCAGCAGGGACAGTGCAGCCCCAGAGGACACCCAGCAGGGATAGCACAGCCCAGGGGGTCACCCAGCAAGGGATGGTGTGCCCTGGGGGGGTCACCCACCAGGGATGGCGCAGACCTGGGGGTCACCCAGCAGGGATGGTTCAGCCCTGGGGGTCGCCCAGCAGGGACGGTACGGCCCCAGGGGACACCCAGCAGGGACAGTGCAGCCCCAGAGGACACCCAGCAGGGATAGCACAGCCCAGGGGGTCACCCAGCAAGGGATGGTGTGCCCTGGGGGGGTCACCCACCAGGGATGGCGCAGACCTGGGGGTCACCCAGCAGGGATGGTTCAGCCCTGGGGGTCGCCCAGCAGGGACGGTACGGCCCCAGGGGACACCCAGCAGGGACAGTGCAGCCCCAGAGGACACCCAGCAGGGATAGCACAGCCCAGGGGGTCACCCAGCAAGGGATGGTGTGCCCTGGGGGGGTCACCCACCAGGGATGGCGCAGACCTGGGGGTCACCCAGCAGGGATGGTTCAGCCCTGGGGGTCGCCCAGCAGGGACGGTACGGCCCCAGGGGACACCCAGCAGGGACAGTGCAGCCCCAGAGGACACCCAGCAGGGATAGCACAGCCCAGGGGGTCACCCAGCAAGGGATGGTGTGCCCTGGGGGGGTCACCCACCAGGGATGGCGCAGACCTGGGGGTCACCCAGCAGGGATGGTTCAGCCCTGGGGGTCGCCCAGCAGGGACGGTACGGCCCCAGGGGACACCCAGCAGGGACAGTGCAGCCCCAGAGGACACCCAGCAGGGATAGCACAGCCCAGGGGGTCACCCAGCAAGGGATGGTGTGCCCTGGGGGGGTCACCCACCAGGGATGGCGCAGACCTGGGGGTCACCCAGCAGGGATGGTTCAGCCCTGGGGGTCGCCCAGCAGGGACGGTACGGCCCCAGGGGACACCCAGCAGGGACAGTGCAGCCCCAGAGGACACCCAGCAGGGATAGCACAGCCCAGGGGGTCACCCAGCAAGGGATGGTGTGCCCTGGGGGGGTCACCCACCAGGGATGGCGCAGACCTGGGGGTCACCCAGCAGGGATGGTTCAGCCCTGGGGGTCGCCCAGCAGGGACGGTACGGCCCCAGGGGACACCCAGCAGGGACAGTGCAGCCCCAGAGGACACCCAGCAGGGATAGCACAGCCCAGGGGGTCACCCAGCAAGGGATGGTGTGCCCTGGGGGGGTCACCCACCAGGGATGGCGCAGACCTGGGGGTCACCCAGCAGGGATGGTTCAGCCCTGGGGGTCGCCCAGCAGGGACGGTACGGCCCCAGGGGACACCCAGCAGGGACAGTGCAGCCCCAGAGGACACCCAGCAGGGATAGCACAGCCCAGGGGGTCACCCAGCAAGGGATGGTGTGCCCTGGGGGGGTCACCCACCAGGGATGGCGCAGACCTGGGGGTCACCCAGCAGGGATGGTTCAGCCCTGGGGGTCGCCCAGCAGGGACGGTACGGCCCCAGGGGACACCCAGCAGGGACAGTGCAGCCCCAGAGGACACCCAGCAGGGATAGCACAGCCCAGGGGGTCACCCAGCAAGGGATGGTGTGCCCTGGGGGGGTCACCCACCAGGGATGGCGCAGACCTGGGGGTCACCCAGCAGGGATGGTTCAGCCCTGGGGGTCGCCCAGCAGGGACGGTACGGCCCCAGGGGACACCCAGCAGGGACAGTGCAGCCCCAGAGGACACCCAGCAGGGATAGCACAGCCCAGGGGGTCACCCAGCAAGGGATGGTGTGCCCTGGGGGGGTCACCCACCAGGGATGGCGCAGACCTGGGGGTCACCCAGCAGGGATGGTTCAGCCCTGGGGGTCGCCCAGCAGGGACGGTACGGCCCCAGGGGACACCCAGCAGGGACAGTGCAGCCCCAGAGGACACCCAGCAGGGATAGCACAGCCCAGGGGGTCACCCAGCAAGGGATGGTGTGCCCTGGGGGGGTCACCCACCAGGGATGGCGCAGACCTGGGGGTCACCCAGCAGGGATGGTTCAGCCCTGGGGGTCGCCCAGCAGGGACGGTACGGCCCCAGGGGACACCCAGCAGGGACAGTGCAGCCCCAGAGGACACCCAGCAGGGATAGCACAGCCCAGGGGGTCACCCAGCAAGGGATGGTGTGCCCTGGGGGGGTCACCCACCAGGGATGGCGCAGACCTGGGGGTCACCCAGCAGGGATGGTTCAGCCCTGGGGGTCGCCCAGCAGGGACGGTACGGCCCCAGGGGACACCCAGCAGGGACAGTGCAGCCCCAGAGGACACCCAGCAGGGATAGCACAGCCCAGGGGGTCACCCAGCAAGGGATGGTGTGCCCTGGGGGGGTCACCCACCAGGGATGGCGCAGACCTGGGGGTCACCCAGCAGGGATGGTTCAGCCCTGGGGGTCGCCCAGCAGGGACGGTACGGCCCCAGGGGACACCCAGCAGGGACAGTGCAGCCCCAGAGGACACCCAGCAGGGATAGCACAGCCCAGGGGGTCACCCAGCAAGGGATGGTGTGCCCTGGGGGGGTCACCCACCAGGGATGGCGCAGACCTGGGGGTCACCCAGCAGGGATGGTTCAGCCCTGGGGGTCGCCCAGCAGGGACGGTACGGCCCCAGGGGACACCCAGCAGGGACAGTGCAGCCCCAGAGGACACCCAGCAGGGATAGCACAGCCCAGGGGGTCACCCAGCAAGGGATGGTGTGCCCTGGGGGGGTCACCCACCAGGGATGGCGCAGACCTGGGGGTCACCCAGCAGGGATGGTTCAGCCCTGGGGGTCGCCCAGCAGGGACGGTACGGCCCCAGGGGACACCCAGCAGGGACAGTGCAGCCCCAGAGGACACCCAGCAGGGATAGCACAGCCCAGGGGGTCACCCAGCAAGGGATGGTGTGCCCTGGGGGGGTCACCCACCAGGGATGGCGCAGACCTGGGGGTCACCCAGCAGGGATGGTTCAGCCCTGGGGGTCGCCCAGCAGGGACGGTACGGCCCCAGGGGACACCCAGCAGGGACAGTGCAGCCCCAGAGGACACCCAGCAGGGATAGCACAGCCCAGGGGGTCACCCAGCAAGGGATGGTGTGCCCTGGGGGGGTCACCCACCAGGGATGGCGCAGACCTGGGGGTCACCCAGCAGGGATGGTTCAGCCCTGGGGGTCGCCCAGCAGGGACGGTACGGCCCCAGGGGACACCCAGCAGGGACAGTGCAGCCCCAGAGGACACCCAGCAGGGATAGCACAGCCCAGGGGGTCACCCAGCAAGGGATGGTGTGCCCTGGGGGGGTCACCCACCAGGGATGGCGCAGACCTGGGGGTCACCCAGCAGGGATGGTTCAGCCCTGGGGGTCGCCCAGCAGGGACGGTACGGCCCCAGGGGACACCCAGCAGGGACAGTGCAGCCCCAGAGGACACCCAGCAGGGATAGCACAGCCCAGGGGGTCACCCAGCAAGGGATGGTGTGCCCTGGGGGGGTCACCCACCAGGGATGGCGCAGACCTGGGGGTCACCCAGCAGGGATGGTTCAGCCCTGGGGGTCGCCCAGCAGGGACGGTACGGCCCCAGGGGACACCCAGCAGGGACAGTGCAGCCCCAGAGGACACCCAGCAGGGATAGCACAGCCCAGGGGGTCACCCAGCAAGGGATGGTGTGCCCTGGGGGGGTCACCCACCAGGGATGGCGCAGACCTGGGGGTCACCCAGCAGGGATGGTTCAGCCCTGGGGGTCGCCCAGCAGGGACGGTACGGCCCCAGGGGACACCCAGCAGGGACAGTGCAGCCCCAGAGGACACCCAGCAGGGATAGCACAGCCCAGGGGGTCACCCAGCAAGGGATGGTGTGCCCTGGGGGGGTCACCCACCAGGGATGGCGCAGACCTGGGGGTCACCCAGCAGGGATGGTTCAGCCCTGGGGGTCGCCCAGCAGGGACGGTACGGCCCCAGGGGACACCCAGCAGGGACAGTGCAGCCCCAGAGGACACCCAGCAGGGATAGCACAGCCCAGGGGGTCACCCAGCAAGGGATGGTGTGCCCTGGGGGGGTCACCCACCAGGGATGGCGCAGACCTGGGGGTCACCCAGCAGGGATGGTTCAGCCCTGGGGGTCGCCCAGCAGGGACGGTACGG